CCCACACCCACACCCACACCCACACCCACACCCACACCCACACCCACACCCACACCCACACCCACACCCACACCCACACCCACACCCACACCCCAAAATTCATCTCATTACCTCATTTAACAATAACATGCTGTTTGTTCTAGTTACTTATAGCGAAGTCGTGTTCAAAGCGAGATTTACATAATACGCCAGATTATTACTATGATTTGAATGCTCAAAAATAATAAGATTTACAAGAAACGGTGAAAAGAATAAACAAAAATGAAAAATCAAGAGTTCAACACCGACCATTCAAATCATCATCAAACATCAACATCATATACACTCATTGCAATACACGAATTAATGTTATAGATGAATTAATTATAAAAGCAAAAAAAAACAAAACAATATATTGTTGATATAGAATCTCAAAAAGGAAAAAAGAGAGAAAAAGGTACAATCATACAAATACTATTCGTACATTAAATTAATCAGTCGACCACTAGATTGATTGAAGCGGAACATTTACCAGATCTACAATCAGTATTTTTGTCAATAATAACACAATTACGCTCAATCATATTCAGTAATAACGATGAAGTGACATCATGGGAAACTATTGACAATGACTTTAAAAATTTTTATCACCTCAACCTGATACAAATAGGTAACAATATTAACGATGCCTTATAATCTGAATTTAGCGATTAATACCACAAAAATATAAAACGCATCTAGAAATGGTAAGGCATGATGATGAAAGCAGGCTTGTATTGTTAGTTATGTACGATACGCATGGTGATCATAATAATAAGAAGAGCAGAAAAAAACAGATCATCAAATCAGATTTAATTGTGGCCGTCCGATTCATTATGACTGGAATGCCAGATGACCACTTCAAAACGCAGTTGCAATAAAATTTAATAAGTTTCGTCATAAATCACTAATAATAAATTATTATCAATATAATCTCGGTTTAAAATTAAAGGCTTGAACGAATCAATTACTTAGTCGGAGACGATACCATAAACAAATAGAACGACAACAACATCTGAACATGAAAAAATATGCTACCAATGATTGCATGACAGTTACAAAGTAATTCTTTTATATGTACTCAGAGAAAATGAACAATCACGTATTATCCATAGCACCAGTTACAGCAACACAAAGAACTACATTCAAAACACCAACAATAATATCAACAAAAACTTTAATTCATTTGGAAAACGAATTATCGGACATCAGTAAAGATGGACTAATTGACATATTAAAACAAAAATTTTATAAACAAAAACCATCATTATCGCCGGAAAACGATAAAACGTATGCCTTAACAATCACTACAACAGAAGAAGAAATGAATGAATTTGACTAAATAGAAGAACAACAACAGCATTAATAAAGCCGAATAACGAAAAAGAGAAACTTTAAAATTTAAATGAAAACAAAAAGCCGTTCTGATTTTCAACATAAGATTAAACGACGAATCTACTATAAATATAGTTATAGAAAAATTAGGGCCACAACTGAAAACATATAACATGCATACAAACCACCGTGCAACTTATCAAATAGGAAAAAGGTGAAGGTTTAATTGATATCGATATGAGTGTGGGTGTGGGTGTGGGTGTGTGAGGGTGTGTGATGGTGTGTGAGGGTGTAGGGTGTAGGTGTGGGTGTGTGAAGGTGTGTGAGGGTGTGGGTGTGGGTGTGGGTGTGGGTGTGGGTGGGTGTGGATAATACGTGATTGTTCATTTTCTCTGAGTACATATAAAAGAATTACT